TCAGTTTGCTGTAGTTCGATCCCCACAACACTCCAGCCATGCAAAAGTGCCCTGAAGGCATTCAAGGAGCAAAAAAAAAAAAAAAAAAAAAAAAATTCATTTTTAAAAAAAATAAATAAAATGTTAAAATGGGGGAGGACGCGATTACATAAAAGTAGAGTTTTGTGTAACGTGTTAAATTGCTATCAATTCAAACTGACATTATCAAAACTTTAGGATATTAAATTTAATCCTCAAAAGTATATACCCAAGAAGTATATACAGGCTGAACCTTGTGGCATCTCTAATCCTAGCACTCCACAGGCCGAGGCAAGAAGACTGCCACAAGTTCCAAGGCCGGTTTGGACTACATAATGAGAGTCTCAAACACAAACAAAAAGTATATACTCAAGAGAATATTCAAGAGGAAATAACATAAAACCACAGAAAACTTGTACACAAAGTGGAAAAAAAAACCTATATTCCATCAACTAGTGAAAAGATACAATGTTTTGTGCATAAAACAAATTTATTTGAGTATAAAAACCAATATCTTAAAAGCCGGACACAGTGGTACACACCTATAATCCCAGTACTTGGGAGGCTGAGGCAGGAGTATCTAGGCAAGTTGGAGGCCTGCCTGGGCTACATAGTGAGTTCAAAGCCAACCTGCACTACAAAGCAACCTTGTCTCAAAAATAGCAACCAAAAAAGAAAAAAAAAAAAAAAAAAAGGCCTGGATTTAGTGATATAGCACAACTACATCACTTGCCTTGTATTTACAAGGTCCTGGGTTCAATTCTCAAAAAAAAAAAAAAAAAAAAAAAAAAAAAGCCCAGGGGGAGGGAGGAAAAGGGAGGGAAGGAAGGAGGGGAGGAGAAAAGGTATGGATGAGCCTTTAAAACAGTATGTAAAATGAAAGAAAATGCTATATGATGTGTTTTTAATTATATGCAATGTCTATAGGCAATTTCAGAGACAGAAAATAGATTAGTATCTGCCCTTGGAGTAGGAGGACATAAAGACTGAATGCTAATATGAATGAGGTTTCCTTTTGAGTACTAGAAATGTTCTAGAATTGGGACTGTAATAGTGGATCACAGCTGTACGAAAAATACTAAAAATCATTAACTTATATGCTTTAAATGCCTAAACATAGTATGGTAAATGTATTTAAGGGAAGCTGTTATTTAGCAAGCATGGTGGGGCACACCTATAATTCCTTTACTCCGGAGGGGCTGTCAGAAATTCAATCTCAGCCCAGAAAACTTAATGATGTAGCAAGAACTTACCTTTATTAAAAAAACAAAAACAAAAACAAAAAACCTCAACAAAGACCCTAAACTCAATCACTAGTATAATTAATTAATCAATTAAAATAAAAGGGGCTGGATGTAGCTCAATGTCAAAGTCCTTGGTTCAACCCCCAATACTTTTTGTTTTAAATCAAGCTATTTTTTAAAACTTCAACCCTATATACAAAAGGGAAAGATGTGTTGTAGTGAAAGTACAAGCTCAGTACCAATCATTACAAGCAGTCCTCAAATGTCTTAATTGAAGTTAAGACAAAACTGAGATAATGAAAGTAAAAAAGATAACACCTCTCAGAACTGAACAAATTCAATCTCAAATTCAATCTTGAAACTGAAAGAGCTGAGTTAACAAGCAGAATACACTGGCAAACACTGAAATCTATACATCCTGAAAACAGGGATCACCAGATTTTTAGAA